CCCCAAAACCCCAAAACCCCAAAACCCCAAAACCCCAAAACCCCAAATAGAGCCGAAAGTTGAATTCCTTGGATAAATCTGGGTTCGTGTGAATTCCTTACCTGATCAATTAGCTCTTAATCTGATCCTCTTCGAGTCTTTTCAAAGTAAAACGCATATAAGTAATTTTGATCTATAGAGTAATTTCAGTCACTGCTTTTTAGAGATGAATTAGATATCATGTATGAACATAGTCGTTAAAAGCAGTTCCTACAATAATGATTGGCTGCTTCTTATCTCTTTTTCCTTAACTTCATGTTTCCTTTATGGGCATTCTTCCTGGTTGATCTAGTTTCCTTGCTAGATCTGGATTTAGCCTGGCCATGATTCTCCTGGCCCAAGCTGTTTTTAGCTGTGGAAGTAGGCTTTGCAGAGAGTGCTTTCAGTGAAGATTTTGAGAATTGATTAGAAATTTCAACAGCTGAGCGCAAATCTGAAAGCAACTCATCCCTTTTTGTAACAAGAGCTTGTAGATCAGAGTCATCGTGCGATGAATCTGGGCTAGGCCCCACTGAAGCAGTAGTTTTACAAGCAAAATCTAGATTTGGGCTCCTTCGTACTGGCCTTATTGGGGAAGGAGGAGTGAAGTTCTTATCTGTCATATCATACATCAATTTTTCAGATCTGCAATAATTTTCAGCAATGATGTGATGAATCTTGTTGCGAGAATTATATAAATTATCAAGGTTTCCTCCTTCTGCAAATAGGAGAGCTTTCATTTGAACTATTTGGTCTTGTCTTGAACATCTGGTGCAGACACAAACTCCTTTGCAAAAGGGTCACAGCCAATGCTTTTCAAGGTCATCCAAGGAGAGGTCATAATTATACTTAAGTCAGAAACTGCAGAACATTCTGTTACACTCATGGTACTCAAAATTCTCATTATTTTGAGGTCCTGCTTTGGTCTCTATCTGGGGCTCTTCCTCATCTTGACCAGAGGAGTCAGCAGCATTTTCTTTATTCCCTCCTTTGTATTTAGAACTCGGCAGTTGGGTTTTAATGACATAGTTTATAGCCTGAGTGTTATATGGCTCTACATTATAAGCCTTGATATTCTTCACTTTAATAAAGCTAGGCATTGCATGGCCAAAATTAGCCGAGTTATAACTGCATTGAGCGAGATTCATGATTGGCTTGCTCTTCTTTCACTGGTGGCAAAATCCATACTCTGTGTTCTTATCCTCAGTCTTCTTTGAATATCCCTTTTTGTCCCTTTTCTTGCGGATGGGGTTTTTCTGAGTATTTTTAGTCTTTTTAGTGACTTCCTCCCTGTTCTTATGGAGAAACTCTAAAGTGGCTTGGTCAATCCAGAGGGGTGGCAGCCTGATGGATTCATCAAAGATCATTTTGTACTCATACTCTACTTTCGAACCTCTTTTCTGAGTCTCAATTGGCCTTCTAGAGTAAACCTTGACTCAACTCTCAGCGATCTGCTTCACCTCAAGATTCTCAATCGACGACTTCAAGTAATCTAATTCAGTTTTGGAAGGTTTCTTCGTAGGTAGCATAGATCCGTTCTCTAATGAAGACTTAGCAGCTGTCTCTGCCTCTATATTTTCTTCATCATCGTTCTGTTCTCTCTCTGCTGCCTGGCAAGGTCTGTTTGGAAGTCTACAAATTCACTATTTAAAATTTACGCTTGATTTCGGAAGAAATGTCTTTATTTAGCTGCTTAAAAGGATTTTTGGCTTCATCGATTTCTTGGATGGTGAAAATATCGTGATTGAAGAGTCTGGAGATTTGGGTTATATACTTTTGAAGACACCAAAACCAATCGGGTCATCTCAAGGAGAAGGCAAGCCCGAAAGCTCATGCTTTTGGCGAAGAAAGTACTCTGTGTAATGCTGTGAAGGAATCTCTGGAAGACCAGAAGGTGTCTAAATAGCAAGAATTAGTAATTAAAGCGATGAATAGAGGATTAAAACCTCGTATCTTAGAGTTCTGGTTCCAAAACGACTTTCTTCACCTAAATTTTTTCAATAACTGTTGAAAATATCCCATACAGTCACATCCTTCCTCCTCTGCCCAAAACCGTCCCTACTCCAGCCCTCACCAATGCCTCACCTCTTCAAGCACATCTTGAACTTGGTCTATCTTATCCTCAACTTTCTCTTTATCAAGTTTTTCAAAGTACTCATCACACAGCTCAAATACTAAATTTTGTGTTAAAATCTCAAAATTACACTGGGCTGACTTATTAGTCGCCTTTATTGGCGAAGTGCCATACTTTGGCACTGAATAGGTCCTCTGGTTATTAAAGTCCATATTCTCGTTTAAATATTATATTTTCATGCTGGGATTGGGGTTTTGGGGTTTTGGGGTTTTGGGGTTTTGGGG